ACTGAAGAGTAGCAGTACTTTGCTTAGTCAAAATAATCTTTTTTCTCTTGAGGAAAACAAAGAGAAGATGCTTGAATGACTGACCACCATACGTGGGCAGGGGATGGTCTTCAGAATTGGAAAATCTTCAGAATTGTCCTCCATCTACAGGCATTGGCTATGACATTTTACTGCTGCCAGATACAAGGGCTTCGAGAAGGCTCAGGGACCTGGCAGACATGAATAGCATTTTCCTGTCTCCCCGAGTGAAAACATAGTGGACAGCTGACACCTCTCTTGACTCAAATCTATGCTGCTAACTTGCTCGTTCCTTGCATCGCCCATCATGGTAAGGTAGGACATGGACCTCTTCCACATCTTGCTTGGGAAACCACAGCAGGGAACACACCTGATTTACTTGAAAAACAGTCCATCACTTCTGGCATTTGAAATTGGAAACCAAGTGTTAGCGGGCTAAATGGGTTTTGCTAGCATTATGGGGTTTTTGTGGCAGCCAATTAACAGCAGGCATTGAGATCGGCAAAGTGAATATATATCAAAGAGGACTGACTGATGGTTATGGAGTCTGACTATTGATACAGACTCCTAATGGTCCCTGTGTTCTCTGATGACCCTTGGGTTAGTGCATGTGCTTGAGCCATTGCAGGCACAGAGGAAGAGGGTCTGAACTTGGCAGTGGGTATTTACCAAGAGACTGGGTGGCAAGAATGGAAGAGCTGTGGAAGCTGGAGGCCAGCACTGATGTTTCAGTAGGCAGGAATAGCATTGGCAACTGACACAGAGCAAAACACCTCTGAAGAGCATAACCAGAAGAGCATCACCAGAAAGACTTGTCAAAACTGACGGAAAATCAGGGGACTAGCAGAAATCACGAGGATGAGCAGGACCACACATACACGATTTCTGATGATGGCTGAACACAGTCCTCCACATTGACCACCCCCAAACGGTGTTGGAGGACCACAAAGCCAAAGAACTGAGGGGTCTCCACAGTGATAGGACCTGGAATTTTCTCCACAGGGAGAAACAGCTGCCAAACTCTGCAAGCTTTGTTTGTCGGTGGAAGCTGATCTGACTGTTTTGTAACAAAATACAGAGAACATCTCTTCAGGAACCCAGCAGACAAGACTAGAGGAAAGATACGGGGAAGAGGAGATGCCTTCTGTAGCATAGCTCTGCCCCATCTCTTCTGTCTGCTAGAATCTGCCAATACGCAATGTATTTTGCATGTCTCGGGAGCGTACTGTCTCCATTTGCACCTTTTAAAGTCCTGCATAGTAGCACAAAGGGGATGGCACAAGGAGGTTCTGGGAGACGAGAGAACTCTGCTATGGAAGGAAGAGACCCACATCAGTATTTCTGCCATCAATACTTTGGGGAGGAAAGAAAAAGAGAATCCAAAACCCCAAACCCCACACTAAATTTGCACTTGTTCTCTCAGGCTGGCAGCCTAGAAGTTCATAAACTCAGAAGTACCTTGTTCTGGAGTAAACTGTTCTGAAAACAGTTTCCAATGGCTTTCCCGAGTTTGCTTTGCTGGTGGCAGCCCTTCGGCTCCATGCTGGCACGTGTATGAAGCTCTTTGAACAAGTTTTGACCTTCCTTTAGCCCCTCTGCCCATCAAGCCAGCTAATGACATGCTTCGTATTGCACAGAACACATACAATTGACAAGTTCATAGTGTTGTTTAAATATTAAACAGTCTAGACAGGCTTTTGAGTCTTATGCCGCTATGAAAAGGCTCAGACCATACCCATCTCTGAAATCGGGCTGCGGGATCATTTGCACAGTAAGACAGACAATAAGACTTGTATACATTGCCATGCAACAGAAGAGATCCCGAACCGCCAGCCCTAAGTGGAAAGTTTATTTCTAAGCACAATATATGGAAAAACCAAACCAACAAACCCCACAGAAATAGAAAACGTTGTAGCAAATCCCTGGTCAAGTAGGACTTTATGTCTGTCACTACCCTGCACCTCACAGCCGCTTAAAATGTCATGCAATGGAGGAGAGGGCACTCGGACGACACCCTCCGCTTCGGATCAAGGAGGATCTCCAAGCAGGAGAGGGCCGATAGGACTCCCGCTGAGTGATTCGGACTGTAACCAGCAAAAGGGCAGCGCTGCTCACCCCCACCACATGCTTCGTGACTACCGGTGGTAGACTTAGCACTTCAACAGGCTTTACCAACGTGGATTCTCACAACACCCCTGTGAGGTAGGTACGTATTGTTATTCCCCCTTTGCGTGGAGGGGGGACTGAGCCAAACAGCCCAAGGCTACAGAGTCGGTGGCAGAGCTGGAGTGAGAGTATGCAGAGTCCTGTGTGCTCAGATTACTAGATCACACCACTCTTTCATGGCAAGTTGTGCTTCTGACCTCACAAACTTTTAGCCGTCAGCCAAATTAAAGGAATTTGACTTCTCCATATTAAATGAGCGGAGGGCAGGGAGGGAAACAACATCATGTCTGACAGCTGTCCCTTCGTCTGTGTATGCTTCCCCTTTCTCAGAACCACCATTTTACTCATCTCTTGGAATGAGGACAGCTTCCAGGACAGGCATGGGGGCGAGAGGCTGCTGTGTTTGCTTGCTTTGGCCAGGTTTCTCTCTACTGTGGATCAGAAGCAGTTCTTCCAGAGACCATTCGTTGCAACACCTTCATTCTAGGGGCAGCTGCTTTTAGAGATGATCGGAATTGCCCCTTCCCTCTCCCTCTGCCCACCAACATCCCTTCCCTCCCCTCTGCCAAAAGCACTCTTTGGTAGATAGTAAGATTGGTCAGATAAAAGTACAGTGGCCTCAGAAACCATGCTGTTTCACATGGGTCCTCAGTAAGTCAGCTTTCTTGGCTGGTGTTTCACCTCCCACATTCTCTGCCAGAGAAGTACCTGTTCTGTTGCATTCTGATATTCAAAGGGACACTGTCAAGTAATTGAGGTGAAAAATATGACCTGCCTTGAGATGCTAACCTCCACCTTCAATGTTGCAGAATGGCTGGTGTGTTCAAACCTGGAGGCTGAAGTTTGACACCTTCCCCAGTCCAGAAACACCTGACACATGACGGCCTAGCTGCCAAAGGAGCTGGTGGCTTACGTTTGCCCTGGCTCCAATAGAAGCTGTGCGAGGTGCTGGTACGATGACAGAGGGCAGCTGGACACAGCCATTGTGCAACGTTGCTCAGCACTGCTGCTAAATGGATGCAGTTTGGCTGAAGTCCTTATCTTAATTTTGGGGGGAGCTGGGTTCAGGCTTCATCACTACGAGCTCATTGTTTTGGGATTGCTGAGCTGTTGCTCCTCAATTAGCTAATCTCCATCTTTTTAGGGTTCCTGCCCTTAACACTTCCTCTGTGGCAGTTGCACTGGCAAAACAGCTCAACCCCGTAGAGCTGGGACATACCCTCCATAGAGCGAGGACAGTCAGCAGGAAATCAGTAACATGGATTTCCTCCTGTTGCAGAAGAAAGGTAGGGCGGAGGAGGACAGGGATGGTGAAAGGAATGGGGTGAGCGGAGAGAACGGTACGTGCCCAAATGGAAAAGGACAAAATCAGTAGGGAAAGAAATTTTATTTTCAAGCTTGTAAGAGAATATTACAAACAATGGAGAGTAAAAAAAGCCCAAACCCTAAAAACTATTTAAAAAGTACTTGACAGTGTCCCTTTAATATCCACAAATGATTCAGCCATTGTGCATTGAAAAAGAATGTTCCTGAAGAGCAACCGATACCTTCGAGGATATATCCCAGAGAAGGAGAGTTATTAGAAGTGTTACATATTCGATCAGCAACTGTGCTCCCTCTTCAGACTAACTCTCTCTTGAATGGTTGAATGGAATAGACTCTGTAATAAACTAACAGACTGGATGGTGAAAGGATCAGCCTACAAGACTGAGTGAGACTGTTGCAAATCGAGCAGCAGGGATACAGACACCTAAAAAAAAGATGTACAGCTCTAATGCATGAGTGTCTGAATTGGCAAGGTAGCAGAAACTCACCGAGATGGGTCAGCTTCTTGTGATTGGAGTAAAATGGAGGAAATTAACCTGGAATGTCTGCATGGGAAATTATGTGTGTAAGTGGCAAGATTTGGATGCTGGATTTGGGGTTATGAAGGCATAAATCACACCAGTACTTGTGCTTGGAACACCTGTGGAGCGTTTGTACAAAATTTGCCAAAAATGCCTATATGTCAAATAAAGGTCATGGAGCGCCCTCCCCCCCTCCCAATTCCACCCTCACAAAGCCTTTGTCAGGAACATTATGAAAAAAACAGGTTTTTTGTTTTAGTGAAATTTGGGTATGCCTGGGTTTTGTTAGATTTTCTTGGTGGCATGATTCAATCTCTCTTTCTGTAAATCAATATTGAAAAATCCCCAGCCATTTCACTTCAGGTATCCTAGGGTAAATCAAACAAGGCTCCAGAGTGACTCATGAAACAGAACGACTCGTAGCCTTGGTTAATCACAGTCTGGAAAATAAAAATATTCCACATATTTCGTTCCCTTCCTTGTTTTTATAAATCTCACACTGTGTGTGTGTGTGTTTGTGTGCACGTGTGTGTGTGTACGGGGGGCATGTACAGAGTGTTACCTATTCCAGGTAATAAGATTTGTAACACATGCTAAACCGTCTGTTCCTCTGCTTCCCCAGAACTCTGCCTACTCAGTTTGTAGTCTGTATTGCACTTGTTTTGTTGGGTTTTTTTTGTGATTTGTGTCGGTGTTTTTTTTCTTTTTTCTTTTTTTAAAACTGGCTGGAAAACATTAACCTCTTTAGCATGAGTGTGCAGCTCTCCCTCTACCTGCTTTTTTCCTCAGCTGGCCAGGTGCCGCCTCTTATATCTTGTGCAGTTACCAAAAAAGAAAAGGAGAGGAGGAAAAAAAAGAAAAAAAGAAAAAAAGAAAAGGAAAGAGAAAGAAAAAGGCACACCATGCTCCTCTGCTTTATGAGTTCTTTGTCTCCTCCGCTTTGTGTTAAGGCCTCCTGAATTCCTCGGCTCAGACCGTCGTGACCCTCATGACGAGCTCTCTGTTACTACTAGACTGACTCCTCTGTTCGTGAGGCCTCAGGTGGCTGAGTATATGCAGGATGGTATAAGCACAGTGGTGGTCAGAGAGGGTGCCTGTGGCATGGCCGGCAGCCCGTGCCCCGCTGTCGGCTGGAGCGGAGTTAGTGGCTGTACCACCAGTGGAGGACGAGTGGGTGGTTTGGGAGGAGGGGCGCTGATTTGTCCTCGTCCCTGTTTTTTGTTCCTCCATGTCCTTTGTTTTGTCATAGTTCAGCACTTTCCACTGCTGATTGACCGCCTGCCACCGTTTAAAAATCCGGTAAACCGAGGGCCCTTCGTGTATTATTAGACCTGGAGGGAAGGGGGAAAGAAATAAACATAAAACAGAAACAAAACTTTAGAAAGAACCATAAACCTACCCCAGCATCCTGCCCCCAGCTAGCTGGTTAGCTCAGCTCTCCCTCAGCCAGTGTTTATTCAACGATAAATCATGTATTTTGATTACCAACTGGCAGAGCACCGGTGCTCCTGCTCTGCTGGATCCCTTTTCCCCTGAATTAAAAGGATTACAGCTTTATCTCAGCAATCAATAAATGGATCGTAAATGCAGCAGAAAGTTATGCTCTTACAGCAAAACAGTATCTGTATACCAATAAACACCCGAAGTTTATCTATCACTGGAGTGGTTTTGCATGCTGCATAGGCATGATTCACCCAGCTAATGGCGTGTGTTTGGAGGGGGTGTAACTGGATCTGACGTGCCGGTGACGTCTGCTGCACCAGTGTCATGTGCGTGCACAGCCCGAGTCTCTCCCCACACACACAGCAGCAGAGCAGACACACACATGGAGGCCAGAGGCAGCAATCGAGCAAAAAAAAGGGTCTGTCTGTACCTATAAATGGTTTGTCATCTTAGGCAAAGTTTTGCTCATCTGCAGAGCAGGTACCCCATTGTACGTCATTGCTCCCTTCCAAGGGGGAAAACAACACACTTGAAAGAAAGGGCAGATGTGCTTACGCCATGTGTGCACTGAGTATGTGCATCATGCATATGTCCTGCTACCCATCTGCATATCCCAGAGCTGATGTCCGGGGGATGGCACTGGGCTGTAGGACAACTGACTTCTAATGGTGTCTGCATTTGAAAGAGAGTGAGCAGCTCAGGCCCTTCCACCCCGCAGTTAGCTCACCTCCCAGCGGTCTCTGTCATCCATCCCACCCTTGCAAGAGGACTGAAGGATTAGATAAAGTTAGACGATGACAGTACTTGAGTATTAAGCTCTGTTATTATTCAAGCTGCTAGGCTTTGGCTAGACCCTTTGAAAGCACTAGGACCAGCACTGACTGCAACACTGTGTTGTTCTTATCAACTGAGACTGGAGGAAGCTGCAACATCTCTTGTAGCCTGGCTTAGTTAGCACGCTGTAATATAATTAAGCAGCTTTGCTAGAGAGTGGGATTTGTGCAGAATGAGGGGGGTCTGAGTCTCCTTGTTTTGTAGCAATCTCTCCGTTAGGAAAGTGCCTTTGTGCCCCAAGTAACTGAAGCCAGACCAGTAGGTAGGACACGTACTGTATGAGTTAGCACATGGATGGCTTCATTGTTCTTAATAACAATGGCTTCACCATTCTTGGTCAGGATCAAGATTATCAGAACCATTTCTAGGAAGAGCAGCTCTCTTGCCTGCCTTTTGAAAGCATATTAATATGAGGGCAAAGAACAAAAGACCCACAAGAAGTAAGAAGCAAAATCATACCAAAACAAGGATGTTACCTTGACCAGCATTGTGCGGGGAGATGATGGTCATCACAGAATAAAGTGGTTTACTGCTATCCTTGATGAATCAAATGCTAGGGCTTTACCCTCCACCCAGCTTTACCAGACTGTTCTAGTTTCTGATGACAGGTAATTATTGGAGTAAGTCTGTGTATATCAAAACCCAAAATATCTGAAGGTCATCCTACCCTTAGGGCTGACCTCCCCATTACTCACTGATGAGATGCAGCCACCTGGTTTCTTAGGATCTGCATCTGATTTTACAGAGTTTAAACTCTAGCTTCAGTACAGATTGAGTTTCTAGCCTCTCTGGCTTGAAGCATAACTAGAAGCCCTGCTGACTTGATCACATAATAGCTTCAGGGGACTCTCACATTCATCGTAATGGGGTGCTGAGCCTGCGTACTGGCTGTAGAAGTAATCACATTAGATAGTTTAAGTATTCAAATCTGGCTATTTTGGGACAGGAATGGTGTTGGGCACTACAGTACGGGAGAGATCTTTACTCTGGTTCCCATAGACCAGTGAGATTGCACAGCTGTAATCCTGTAGTGATGCAGCTTTTCATAACCAAACACCATGATGTCATAATAGAAAAATGTGGTTTTTCCTCCCTACTTTGAAACATGGTTGAGAATTCTGACATCTTCTGATCAAAGCATCAACCATAAAAAGCAGGACTTAGGGAAAGCCTGCAGATCCAGCCAAGGAAACAGAGCTTTGAAGCAGGCCTGAAATGGATCAGCCCATGACAAGGGACATTAGACATATATTTAAATGAGCTGTCTGATCTGTAATGAATGAAATTCCACTCTGATCAATGACAGAGCCCATGTTTCTCTGAGACCACTTTAAGCCTTGGATAAAAGAGCCGAAATCAAATGTTTTCTCCTTCGCTGTAGAACATTCTCCATAGAATCAAATCCATTCTCCAAAGTATTAAACACTGAGCCAGGATTGTAAATCTATTCTTAATTACCTTATCACAAATATTTAATGCGCAGCCTGATTCAAGAGGGCTGTTTATAAAATTCTTGTTTGTTTGCCTTCTAATTATAAATGTTTATGATCTTATGCAATTAACTGTGTGATGCTGATGGATGGGTTGCTGAGTCAACTGAGCACCTGTTTTCTTAGATAATTTTGGTTTCCAAATATTTATAAAAGTACAAAATAACTTGTTTTTGTCTGTATTTACTGGGCTCTAAATTACTTATCGATTTCCCAGCGTCAAGCTCAGGAAGCTGTAAAATTAAAAAGGAACCAAGTGGAGGGGTGGGCAGGGAGGCGGAAGTAACAGTGATTCATTTGCAAGAGTAAATACCAAGAGTAAGCAAGAGTCCATCAGTTTATATCAAGCTGCAGGACACTTAATGCTCCCATCGAAACAAATTTTGTCTGCCTGAGATAAATTAGGATTGGAATTCCTACATTCAGCTCTGTGTGTCCCCTTCCAGAAACACCCCTCCCTCGAGGATCATTCTTGCTTACAGAGGTGAAACTTTCCAATTAAATGCCAGGCTTAAGTGGGAAAGCCTTCAGGAAGAACTGTATTCAACTAGAAGTGTCCAGCTAGAAGCATTTAGTCCATAAGCCAAATCCTGTGTATGTGGGGAAGATAGCAGGTTGGTGTGAACTTCTCTCTTTGTGCACTTTTCTCTTTTCAATGCAGAAATGTCTATATGAGAATTTTGCATGGATTCTGGTAATGACCTGGTCCTTTTCCACTCCTCCCAAGTTTATCTCGCCATCTTCTGCTTCACAAAATCTGTTCTTAATGGATCCTCTGTGAAAACCATCCTCTTCAGAAGGACAATCTCTGAGAGTTTCACGCAAAACGTGTCAGTCCAGATTGTTGCCTGGTCCATTAAATCCCTTCTTTGTGGTGTTGGTGAAATGAAACTCCTATGCAATGTGGGCACTGAAGATGTGCTGTTCTCATTCCCACTTTCTCATGTAGAGACCTGGCTGGACCAGCATCAGAAGAAATTCCTTGAGCTGAAAATTGTTGAATGCTGGAAGAAGTATTCAGGGGAACTATAATATACACTTGTCTTGTTCTTATTTCACTCTTATGTCTGTTTGTGGCCATTGATGGAACAGGGCAGCTGGCTAGATGGAACCTTGGCCATTCTTATATTCATTAGACATTTCTACTTGCACTGGCTTGTGCCATGAAAAGATTTCCCAGATGGCTCTGGAACTGGAGACAGCCCATACTATGTGACGGGGTCATTAACCTGACAGCAAAGTCTACAAAAAAAATTTCTAATGCCTCTGCTTGCATTGCCACATTGATGTGGCTGTGCTGTTCCCAGGACAAGACAGTACCTCTGAGCTAACATGGTAGGGCTAACCCAGCAGTGCTCTGAATTAACACACTCTGAATCTGGAACAATATGTACAGGAAACCATACCGATCTCTTTTCACTGTGTTCACTCTCTCCATATATTAGCGTTTTTTGCTCTTTCTCTTGTGGCTTTATTATTATTGAGTCCATGCAGAGGGTCAGATCATGGTCAGCCCTGTGGAGCTCTGTAGAGTCCAGGCAGGAGGGACTAGTGATTATCCTGGGTGCAGGGATTACTTCCCAGACCTGAGAAGCTGCTTTGTGCTTCACAGCACAGGCAAACACAACAATACCTTGGCAATAGGTTATACCAAAACTGTACACATTGCTTACGCTGGTATCTTATGCTTCCTTTCATTTATTATACATGGGAGAGTACCCAGCACCCAACCACTGCTCTTATGAAAAACTATCACAGTAAGTTACCCAGCCCCAAAGAGCACAGAGCCTGGCTCCAGGTTGGATTTAAAGCAACAGGTAAGCAACACCAATAGGGGTTGACTAGGCAAGAGTTGTGTCAGTGCGGTTGCATGCCCAATCAGTGCATGCCTACAGCATCTGGGAGAGCAAGCTGACAATTGCTGACTCTGGGGAAAGACTTACCTCTTCCATTTACACCCTCCCTCACTCTCATTTTCATACCAGAGCAAGAATAACTGGACTGTTTCTTTTCCAGATGATCAAGATGCAGTCTGCAACAGAGCTAGCACTGGTGCAAGCAATTTAATTTCCATGTTCTACTGATTGCCACAGCTAACCCTGAGCTTCTGGACTCTTAAAATGCAGGAGTTGGAAAGGGGAGCCTGACCAAGGGTGAGTATCATGGCCCAGAGATAAGGCTCACGTCGCTGTAGGATTTCTCTGAGCCTTGCAATACCTGCCCACACCACATCATGATCCACATGGGCAGTCTCTGTGCAAGGCAGTGTTCTTGGTGCTGAGGGTGGACACATATGGGCTGTGTGCAGGTGGCCCTTTGTATCTTGGGATTAGTCAGGACAGAAGTGCATTGCCATCAGTGGGCCTGTGGCAAGACTGGTCAAGAGAGAGGTCCTCAGCCCAATGGCTAGAAGGGCTGTTGGAAGAACACGGGCAAAACCCAGATGTAACAAGGACAACTGTGTTTGTGCCTCTGGATGGGCAAGGGAGGATCAGCTGGTGCACCACCATCCTGTGAGATTGACCCGAGTGGTTGCGAGCCTCCAATTTAAGGCAACTTTGGAG